ATTAGGCACAGGAGTTATTCCCGACGCACCTGATCAGAAAGTGGGAAAGAATGCCAGTAAGGAAACAAGACATACCTTCCTTCACAAAGGACGAACTGCTAGAAGCCAGTAATAAGTTAAAGGAGAAGAAAGCCCCGGGCCCTGATGGCATACTTGCAGAGGTGGTGAAGGCGGTAGTTAAAAACCACACAGGATACATTCTAGAGATTTTTAACAGATGTTGGCTGAAACGAACGTTCCCTAAACAATGGAAAGTAGCAAAACTGGTACTTCTGGAACAACATAAAAGAGAACAAATTAACAGGACATATAGGCCTATCTGTCTCCTTAATGTATTTGCAAAATTGATGGAGCATCTTCCCCTAGGAAGGCTGAAGAGGGAAATAGAGAGAAACGGTGACTTGTCTAGTGAACAATATGGTTTCTGAGAGGGCAGATCAACCATGGACGCTATGGAAAAAGTTCAGCAAATAGCAGACGAGGCAAATGAGAGAGCAGGCAGAAAAAAATGTGCCCTCATTACAATCAATGTAAAAAATGCCTTTAATGCTGCCCCGTGGGATAGAATTCTAGAGGAACTGAGAAACCGAAGTGTAACCCCACAAACGTATAACCTAGTGGCCAGCTATCTAGAAGACAGGTGGCTCCTCATAGGTACAGAAGGAAAAATGAGAAGGATGACGTGCGGAGTACCATGAGGCTCTTTTAACAGACCACTGTTATGGAATGGCATCCTAAAACTCCCGATACCACGCGAAGTGAAGCTAGTAGGCTACGCGGACGATGTAAGCATAATAGTGACGGGGAAAGACGCGGAAAACTGCAAACAACGGCAAATGAGGTCCTAGACAATATAACACAATGGTTGACAGCTAAAAGACTAGCCCTAGCCCCACAAAAAACTAATATTATAATATTAAAGATTGCAAAGTTTTCTTTTTGACGCTTAGTGGTTTGGCTTCCTTCTTTTCAAAGTCATCGAAAAGAACTCGCGCTTTGGACATTCACGTTCAAAAAAGGTTTCCAAAAGTTGCTCAGACGCGATGGAACTACAATGGACGTTTAGTGCAAACAGTGTTTCAATACCGTGATTCTTTGATACACTTTTTTCAAGACGTTTGGGATAATAAAGAAAAATGAGATGCTGAAACTGTTACTGCCGCTAAAGGGTATTTGCATTGGCTCAAACAAAACTTTGATTTCAATTTTTTGCTCAACATTTTTGCAGAGATTTTCCCTTTTACTGACATTTTATTCGACATTTTACATACCATGGACATTTTACAGACAAAGTCAAATGACATTGACTTTTGCTTTAAACAAATTGATGATTTTAAAAATAAAATGAATAAAAAATGAGACCAGTTTGAACACTTTTGGAATAAGACTCAAAACATTGGCTTAGAACCCGAAAGAAAGAATTAGAATTGATAATATCGGCGACAGAGATCTCCTTTCATCGATTATACGCCGCAATTTTTGATAATATTTTATAACAAATGAACTCTCGATTTCAAAACTTTAACGAATTAAAATTTGTTGAATTGTTCAATTTTAATATTAGTAACTACGATTCATCAAAATTTTCATCGGAAGCTTTTAATTCACTAAAATTAAATTATGGAAATTTTTTCGATATTCCAGCATTAAAGTCCCAGTTAAGTGTTGTTTATGAAACAACAAATTAGTGATAAAAAAATGCCCATCAATTTGTTAAATTTTCTTATAACAACTAGTTTAAATAAGTCTCTTTGTGAAGTCGTCAAGTTGTGTGAATTAGTACTAACCATCCCAGCCACAAGTGCGTCAGTTAAGCGAAGTTTTTCAGCATTAAAGCGCATTAAATGTTTTATACGAAATTTAACAAGTAAAGACAGCCTCTCTAATTTAGCCCTAATATTCATTGAAAAACAGCTTGTTAAACAGTTATCAGAAAATCCAAAATTTTACGACGATGTTATAGACAAATTTGCAGCCATTGAGGATAGGCGAATAGATCTGAAGTATAAATAAATGACAACTGCTGTGTCAATAATAAAAAAACTTCAGTTAAATGATTTTTTTACGTTTAAATAAACCAAGGAAGCTTTTCAATGGTAAGTTTTTTTATAGCTTCTAGTACTAAACTAGGTAATAAAGTAATAGTAACACTTCAAAAATCTCAATCTCGAATATCCGTAGTACTGAGGGGAAAAAAAGCAAGATTGTGACAAAATGGTGAATGCGCTGCGAAAAATTTTCGTCTGCGGCGCTGTGCTTACTGGTCTGCTGTATTTTTATACAATCGCTTCCCCTTCCACTGGTATAAAGTTTCAGTATTTGGCACTTTTTTGGTCAAAATTGACAAGAGGAAAATACTCCGCATGAAGGCAATAGAATGATAATTGGTGATACCTGGCAAAAGAATATTTAAATGGGGAATGCGGGTATTATGTGTATAAAGTTTCAGTAATCTAGTGCCTTTTTTCAGTATCTGGCACTGCTTTGGTCAAAATTGACAAGAGTAAAATACTCCGCATGAAGGCAATAGAATGAAAATTAGTGACACCTGGCAAAAGGATATTAAAATGGGAAATGCGAGTATTACGTGTACAAAGTTTCAGTAATATAGTGCGTTTTTTTCAGTATCTGGCACTGTTTTGGTCAAAATTGATAAGAGTAAAAACTCCGCATGAAGGTAATACAATGAAAATTGGTTACACCTGGCCAACGAATATTAAAATGGGGAATGCGGGTATTATGTGCATAAAGTTTCAGTAATCTAGTGCCTTTTTTCAGTATCTGGCACTGCTTTGGTCAAAATTGACAAGAGTAAAATACTCCGCATGAAGGCAATAGAATGAAAATTAGTGACACCTGGCAAAAGGATATTAAAATGGGGAATGCGAGTATTACGTGTACAAAGTTTCAGTAATCTAGTGCGTTTTTTTCAGTATCTGGCACTGTTTTGGTCAAAATTGATAAGAGTAAAAACTCCGCATGAAGGCAATAGAATGAAAATTGGTTACACCTGGCCAACGAATATTAAAATGGGGAATGCGGGTATTATGTGCATAAAGTTTCAGTAATCTAGTGCATTTTTTCAGTATCTGGCACTGCTTTGGTCAAAATTGACAAGAGTAAAATACTCCGCATGAAGGCAATAGAATGAAAATTAGTGACACCTGGCAAAAGGATATTAAAATGGGGAATGCGAGTATTACGTGTACAAAGTTTCAGTAATCTAGTGCGTTTTTTTCAGTATCTGGCACTGTTTTGGTCAAAATTGATAAGAGTAAAAACTCCGCATGAAGGCAATAGAATGAAAATTGGTTACACCTGGCCAACGAATATTAAAATGGGGAATGCGGGTATTACGTGTATAAAGTTTCAGTAATCTAGTGCGTTTTTTTTTTTAGTATCTGGCACTGTTTTGGTCAAAATTAACAGTAAATAATTGAGTGTATAGTACTCCATTGGACAATGGAAAGAAAATTGGTAACACCTGGCAAAAAAATATTGGAATGGATACGTGTATCTTCAGTAATCCAATGCGTTCTTCTAGTTTCTGGCACTGTTTTTGTAAAAATTTACAAGAGTAAAGTAACCTTTGAAGGCAATAAAGGGGAAATTGGTGTTACGTTTCGTTCTAGTACCTTGCACTGTTTTTGTAAAAAATTGACGAGAGTAAAGTACCTCTTGAAGGCAATGTGGGAATATTAGTGCGTTTTTTCCAGTATCTGGCACTGTTTTGGTCAAAATTGACAAGAGTGGTACTCCAATTAGGCATTCCAACGACCTGTCAAACAATAGGTGCCAGTGGGAAATTCTTGTATATCTAAGGGGGTAGCAACATAATCTTGCAACTTGGACGCTATTTTTATTCGAAGTAGTAGTCGCCAAGCCTGCCAATTTATGAAGAAATGTATAGGTGGGCTTTTTAAATATTATTTTTATTGTGTTTGTCATAAAATATTTAAATGTTATTCATTATTCATGATTTTACGTAAAGTAGATAGAATACACCGTATGTCACCACCCTTAGATATACCAAACCTTCCCACTGGCAATTCATTTGTTTGGAATGGATAATGGAAAAAATTGGTGACACCTGTCAAAAAAATATTGAAATGGATACTTGTACATCTTCCAGTAATCCAGTGCGTTTTTCTAGTTTCTGGCACTGTTTTTGTAAACATTTACAAAAATATAGTACCCCTTGAAGGCAATGAAGGGAAATCTGGTATCATCTTTTTTTCTAGTACCTTTCACTGTTTTTGTCAAAAATTGACGAACGTAATTGGAGCCATATCTAGCACAAAATATTGGGGTGGGTATCATTATGAACTCAAGTACCTGACAGAAGTCAAATTTAAATCTGAAAATTCGACACACATACTCTACTACTTTATCCAATAACTCGAAAATGGTAATAAATGAATTACAACAGCGTTTCCCAAAGTGTGCTCCGCAGAGCCCTGGGGCTCCGCAAAACCTCTGTGGGGGATAAAAAATAAATACTAAAGGATCGAGTACTATGAGAAAGTTCAGGAGGACCTGGTCTGAGGACGTTTCTTTAGATTTCACTAAGGATCTAATTTTGCTTGAGGATTTTTGTTTTAAATACCCTGGGGTTGCAAAGTAAAATATAACCTATCTAATTTAATTATTAATTTAGGACTCCGTCAAATATTTCGCTTTTGAAAAAGGTTTCGCGCGTCGCCAAAAAAGTTTGAGAAATACTGAATTACACAATTTTTAAACGTTCAAAACAACCGGGCCAAATTCAAAATCCGTGGGAACCACAAGATGTAAAATTCAGATACATCGCGTTTCTATTTTCAACATATCTATATTACATCAACTTTAATCTTTAAATATCTCACACTGTCATTTCGAAAAGAACTTGATTTATTTAATCGCGTATAATTTTATTCAATATATAGACGACATCGGAGATATTTTTGAATAAATTAATCGCATTTACACAAGTCAATAAACGTGAGAAAGTGAAAACTCACCAATAAGTAAGCACCAAAAAATCCAGAAGCGATCTGCACACTACAACAAAAACAGTTTTCTACTAGTGCCATTGCATATCCATTTTTCGAATCACCCAAACACTATTAGACACAAAAAAATACATTTTGGGACTACATCACTCCGTTACAAGTTCAATGCTATCGTCCGACCAACAAGTCATCCTGAAACCACCCCACTGGATTTTCGATCTTCTTCCAACAAACAACCGTAGAATAATATTAATAATAATCCGTATTGTTTCACTGTTAAAAATCTGTTTGTGGGTTGAATAACTCTTCGCAGCATGGGTGAGGCAATGGTGTGAGTAATATCTTTGTATATTTGCAACTTTTTGAATATTCCATTCACGTGCGCACGGTTACTTTCTCTTCAAATATTGCCTCCACTTCCAAGCAAGGTGAAGATTAAAAAAGGTAGGCGCAAATAGTATACTGAAAACTGGAAGGTATGCAACATTTATTACATTGCGACGTTAGTATAGTGGTATAGTTGAAAGGAGATAGTAGAATAGTGGAAAACGATTGCGATGGAATGCACTAAATATCTTATGAATTTATCCTTTATCTTTATGTATGTGTATATTATATGGATGAGCCACTTACAATTTAAATAAATGTAAATATATAGCTGATAAATTTTATTGTGTCGCGAAAATTTGCTTGAGAAAGTATGCCATGGCCACAGTGTTGCCAGATGTACGATAATATTCGTTTGGGTACGGAACGCCGTGGGTACGGACGACTTTAGGGACAGTGGAATTTTAAAGAAATTTATTTTTTATCAGAAAGAGCGTATTTTAAATAGCACATTTAAAAAAAAATTGCTGTAAATGCGTTATTTAAACCAAAAAAAATTATTTAATTTCTATAAAAATCGGCATTTCGACGACTGTAAACATCGAAACTCAATGGTTTCTGTCAAATTTGGAAAATATAATTGCAACGTTGCCGGATTGTGATAAAATTAGTAATTAATGGAAAATTGTGATTGCCCATACCGGTCCATAAATATGCGAACAATTATATTCGGCGCTTCGTCCGAATAGATTACTTTATAATAACTTAGTAGTACCGGTTTTCGGTGCTAGATGGCACAACGTTCAAAGATAAAAAAAAACTTCTTTATCGGTTAAGTATGCTTACCTACTTTACCGATCCCTTTCACACGTCATAACGTTTTTTGTGCCAAGATGGTTTCAACGTTCTTTTAGGAATAGAGAAGTTTTATCTCTAAAATTTTATAATTAGTTGTATTTAATAATATTTATTTTTAAGGTAAAATGGGAGAACATAAGAAGAGGAAAAGGTCGTCTTCTATTTCTCGCTCACCCTTGCATAGAAGGCCGCTAACTGCACTGGAAAATATGTTGATTAATAATGATATTGAGGTAATACGACATAAAAGAGTCCGCGGCCCAACTAGTGGCCCGGCGTCCTAAAACTCAGTTCATAGTGTTGGGGCAAAAGTTCATTAATCACGGAAAAAGAAGTGTTCTGGCTAAAGTCCTTGAACCACAAAGCCGTACATCCCCAGTAAGTTGCTACATACTATATATCCGTCCGCGGCCCAACTTGTGGCCCGGCGTCCTCAAACTCAGTTCATAGTGTTGGGGCAAAAGTTCATTAATCACGGAAAAAGAAGTGTTCTGGCTAAAGTCCTTGAACCACAAAGCCGTACATCCCCAGTAAGTTGCTACAGACCATATGTCCGTCCGCGGCCCAACTTGTGGCCCGGCGCCCTCAAACTCAACTCGTAGTGTTGTGGCAAAAGTTCATCAACCACGGAAAAAGAGAGTTCTGGCTAAAGTCCTTGAACTACAAAGCCGCACTTCCTAGAGCTAGACACTGAGACTAGCTCGTCTAGGAGACGACCTGGATATTGAAAACAAAAATGGTGTTTAATCCTTACATTGGAAAAAAGTTTGTCTTTAATTCTAAAAGATTAGGCAAGGAAAAAATAAATATTTGTCCTCTATTAAAATCCCCAGAAATATATCAAAAATATTTAACTGGCATATAAAGTCAATAAAATTAAGTCTAGGAGTGTCCAGTATTGGTAAGGTAATAAATATATTCTTGTCATCTAACAATGAGACATAAAAAATAGTCTGGGAAAACCCTTCGCAGATTTTTCTATAAAATATCAAATGATTCTTTAGTAACAGCTCTGCATATAAAAATGAAATTGATAAATTCCTGTATTTACTTATATATAAACAGAAATTCTCCATTCAGTTAGGTATAATGTTTGATATACAATAATATATTTAATTAAAATTAATCAAAATAATAGTTAAAATACAAATAATGCAATACAATATGGTTCTAACCCTGGAAATTAATATAAAACCCAAAAGGTAATAGACAAATCAGTCGTGATGTATTTTTACAACACTACTTCTAAAAACAGTCCAGAAAAACCCAGCTTTCAATATTTCGGGAAACTGGAGGAGCCTATTTTGCACCAGGGGGAGGGGGAGGCAGAAAAACTGGACAGGGACCCCCTTCTCTGTTGCACAGAAAAAAGAAGATGAACTTATTCTTGTCTGTGCTACCCTCAAAACAAATATTAAAGGTAGGTTTAAAAGCAGGGTAATTAAATTGTTATATCTGAATGGAAAAGCCTTAAACCAAATCCCTTAGATTGCCTGAATGGTTACAAAACTCCACATAAACTCCCCACATAGAAATTTTTCATCAAAGATTGTCATTAAAGACAAACCATTAATTGAAAATTTCTTAAAGGACTTTAAAAGCAAGGGTGCATCAAAAATTGATTTATTCTAACTATATTTTACCTGACCATTTCAAAATGGAAGATTAAAGAACCGTAAAATTATCACAAAATTCATTTATATGTAAGTACAGTCACTCTGTTGGCTATCTCGATGTGTACAGACTTAAAAGATGGCTATTAATTTCCAAATACCAATTCATAAATCTACAAAATGTTTAAGATATCTTTAATTAGTAAAATTATGAAAACATTTGCCTTTTAAGAGAAATTGACATTTAGTTGTTCAGTTTACTTAGACGATGGTCTAATAATGGCGAATTCAGAATTACATGCTTTACAAACTAAAATTATAATAGGAAACTTGAAAAATCTTGGATTCACAATGAACTTCAAAAAAGTACTTAGTTTAGTTCCTAGCAAACATTATAAATTTTTTAGGGTTAGCCTTCACTGTTGTAAATACTGAAAATCTTATGTCGATTGTACCTACTAGCCGAAGAAAAGAAAATGATTAGTTTCAAAGCAGTCACAAAATTAAATAATGAAAAATAAGGTTTTTTGCTCCTGTTATTGAACTCCTGGTATCTGCTATGCCAGCTGAAAAATATATAGTCGTTTATACATCAAGTCTTTAGAAAAAGAAAAAGTTTTAGCTCTAGGAGAAGAATAAGATAACAATTATTAATAATATGAATATCATATTGTAATCATTTATAGTTTGTTGCATTCTATTATGCCCCAAAAATGTCTTGCTCAAAATTGTAATTTTGCAAATATATTCGTGAGGTGTGATAACCACTACCACTTTATATATATTTTTGTAAGTAAACAAAAAAGGACAGTAGGTATCTATAAATCATAAATATCTGGATGAAGTTATAATAATATTTATTTACCATAAAAAATACATTTTCTATTGACTTAATACAATAAATATATTATAATATTTGCTAAAGATTTGGAGATGGTGTGAATCAAAAAATTACTGGATTCAAGCATAGTGTACTTATATGCGCATCTTTTCTACTTACATTTCATATACCTATATTTGTTCAGTAGAAAATAAAGCAGATAGGGGTCACGTGTCAGACTTCTTTGGAAACACAATATGGGAGTTAGATAAGTCAGTATTTAATAAAATACATAACAAGATAAGATGGAACTCCTCTACTATACCTAGAAATATATTTGTATCCAACTTAAACCGAAAACTTAAAAAATATGACAATCACGAGATCCAGAGCCAGTCGCAATAGACGTATTTTCGCCATATTTTGAGAGAATATATATACAAACCTATGCATTTCCTCCTTTTCCAATAGTCTTAAGTACTAAGAAAAATTATCATTAATAAGTCTTCAGGAATAATGATTGTCTCTTACTGACCAACACAACCCTTGTTTCTAACGGTAACCTCTTTTGAGGTAATCGCACACCCACATATATCGGCGACCGATTGGAGAAACTATCCAACAAGGATTTAGTCTAAAAAATATACTCGAGGTAGGCCTAGGTAATACAATGCCAAACTCTATCAAAAAATATTTTACAATACAGTTGCCCCCCTTAGGGCATGGGGGTCTGGCCTGGTGGAATTATTCTTGTAGAAAATAAGTAATAAATTTTGTACAAAACGCAGCTGGCTATACGAACAAGCTTTCGTTAGTGTAGTTAGTAATATATTTTACTAATACCTAAAGCTAATAACATATTGGAGCCGATATAAATGTAAAATGCTCCACAAAAAAGGTATGTCTAAGTTAAGGCCTACAAAATCACGTTATAATTTTTCTTGAAATCTTTGAAAGGTGCTGGATTATTTGAATAATTTACCAGAACAGTTGCCACTGGAACAGTTAGTCCAAAAGACCACAATCTTAATCTCCCTGATAATAACTGGCTATGCAAACAAACTAATAAAATACAAAATATCGTAATCACAGGTTTGATCCAAATATTAATTCCAGTGCTCATACAAACATCAAAACAGAAAGATTCTAAAACTTGTAAGGTTTGTTGGAGTTGGTAATATCTCGTAGAAAATCCTCTAGGATCTGCATCGCTACTACTCCGCTAGAGCATCGTACATAAACGGTAGAGTATATTAATTAATGAATAGCTGAAATCAGGAAAACGAGGAATTTTTATTAATTGCCAGTTTACCACCATACTAAAAGTGGGAACCTAAACCATACATCAAATTGTTTTAAGAGCGACGCAGGTATATAAATAGGTACTGCTAGATTTTCTGCTTTATTCCAGGAGACATTCTGTGGAAAGCTTTTATAAATTTTTACAACAGGCCTCTGGAAGAATCCAGATTTGCAGAAGCAATAATTAGGTATTAATTGTTTTACATTCTCATCATAGAATCTTAAAAAAGATACTTTTTCTGTTTACATAGTAGGTTAGATTGTTTATAAAAATTTTGGTTGTTTTTACCATAGGCTTAAAAACAATAGCTTTTGTTTTTCTAGGAAATATCAAAGAAGATACTGTATAACCTTGATACATTTCCTAAGCCTGAAACAATGTAACTTTAAACAGCCTACTAAGTTATTATAAAGTAATCTATTCGGACGAAGCGCCGAATATAATTACCCGATCAAACGAACTTGTGAAGTTCGATCGTAATTATATGAGGCGCTTCGTCCGAATAGATTACTTCCCATCCCATTTTTACCCAACCCATTTGAATTTGTTTCAGGTAGGTATAAATCCAAATCGAAAAACAAATTTGAATTTGCTTTAAACTTTATGACGTGTGAAAGGGATCGGTAAAGTAGGTAAGCATACTTAACCGATAAAGAAGTTTTTTTTATCTTTGAACGTTGTGCCATCTAGCACCGAAAACCGGTACTACTAAGTTATTATAAAGTAATCTATTCGGACGAAGCGCCTCATATAATTACGATCGAACTTCACAAGTTCGTTTGATCGGG